CTGAATACTAACAAGATAAAGTCTGCAGTGTCTTTTTTATCAGAGAATTCTCTCATCAGCTGTTGCCAGGCAGGCCTGGTAATAGTTCCCTGGCTATTTTCCCACAAAGGCCTACTATTAATCTGCCAGTGAGGCTGATATCAACAGAGCACATTACTCATTCTAGCAGTGTTTTACTTCTTGCCAAGCGCATGCCTTTTGCAGAGATAGGTGGAAGGCTCAGCTCTTGAATTCTTCTCTTTCCCCTTCCGCAGGATTCCACTCTGTGCCCTGATCAACCAACACTTAAATGGGCTTGCAAAGAAGTTTCCAGATGTCAAGTTCGTCAAAGCCATTTCCACCACCTGCATACCCAACTACCCTGATAGAAACCTCCCCACGATCTTCATCTACCTTGAAGGAGACATCAAGGCCCAGTACATTGGCCCACTGGTGTTTGGAGGAATGAACCTGACCTGCGATGGTAGGTTGTGGCCTTTTAGTTGGAGCTGCTTGGGAGGGAACCTGGGGCCGTCATACATAAAATGCCACTTATGTGCTCAATTGCTGTGCTCTTTCCCCTCCCCTCGTCAGAACCCCTGGTGCGATGACCTTTTCCTGTGCAGGTATAATCATGTAGTAAATATAGAGAGCCTGTGTCTTGTATCATATAGAAGATCAGACTAGGATGTAGGAGATCTGAGTTCAAATCCTTGCTCAGACAAGGAAACTCCTTAGGGGGGCAGTATGTGTTATTGGTAAATGACTCCTTAAACTTAGAACATACCTGAAAAACTCTGAGGGTCACTGTAAGTCAGAAGAGACTGGATAGTACAGAACACACTAACATGAAAAGTGTAAAATATTAAATAGATTTAAGTGGAAGATGATTGGAGCTCAAAGAGTGGCCCAACTCTCTGTTCCCTTTCCTCCTTCTCATTTTATTATTCAGGTATTTGTCTGTTGGTTAGCACTATTTTGAATGGGTTTTTTATGTAAGGTGTGCCACTGCCTGCAGTAGTGGAACATTTTCTGGTGTCTCCATTGCACAGTCAATTTTGTGAAAGACCCCCTGGAAACTGGGGAAAAACACTTGAAGCAGGATACTAGTTTCTGTAATGGAAAGTACTGACTATCCGTCCTGCAGGTTGAGATTGTGTTTGTGCTGCAGGCCTCTGGTTCAAGAGTGGGCCGCTTGTATGGCCTTTGAGCCCCTTCCCTTTCTCTCGCTCACCTCACAAGCCTTTCACTACTGCTGAGCTGACTGTGGCAGCTACAAGCCACGCTGCTGAATTTACAGGGTGAAGTCCAGCTGTATGTAAAGAGGGGGAGAACCCTGTCTGTTAGGCTGTGCTCTGACATCTCCCCAGACCTCATGATGCAGGACACTCTGGCACCCTCTTTTACCACAGAGCTGTCACTGAATTTCAGCAGCAGTTCCAGTGGCAGTGGCGCTTTGGCCGAGGAAGCTCCCAACATGTTGTGAGATGTCCAGTATATATATACAGTATATACACACACACCCTTTCTGCTTCATGTTTTGCTTGGAGATGGCATTGGTATGTAAAAGGCATCATCCTCTTATCATGAGCTGATCTCAACAAATAAGGAAGTAAGGGTGGATGCAGGAGAAACTGAAAAACAAGTAGGAATCAATCTTTAGTCTTAATAAAGTATTCAGCAATGCGATCTTGGGGAGAAACATACTATGACAGTGTAAACTCCCCAAATAATTAGGTGCATAGCCACAGTCAGTTTGTAGTCACATAAGCCAATGGTGTAGTCCTGTGCCTTTTTATTTAGACCTTAAGTCCCAGTGAGTGTAACGGAACTGAAATCACATGCGTACAGAATTGTAACCAAAGGGCTCCTTCATATGTTGCATTTCCAATGCAGAGATTTGTCTGCATATTAGAAAACCTGTGCAGATGACATGAAGTCTTTTCTAGGCTGGATGGGAGACCACCAACGTTCACTCTAATTTTCAGTCTCGTTGGGAGGAATGCTGGGCACAGGGGGGGAGTTTGGAGACCACCTAATATGTTTAATTTTTTTTTTCAACTTTTTCCCCTTCTGTAAGCCACAATCTGTAGATTTTTATCTTTCAGTCTTGAGAACACATTAACTTTCCTGAGTCAAAATGTCAGCATCACATTAATTTCCCTTCTTTTCTTCCCTTTGCTCATATATGAGAGTGACTGTTTAGATCACCAGGAAAGATAACTGTGAGACATCTGATTAACTTGTCAATATTTTTGGCTATCTTCCACTTCTGGGGTATAAGCCAGGTTGAGCCCCTGTAATAAAAGCCAGCTGCTTTAGGGAAGTGTTTCTGTATTTGCAATAAAGAAATAAGGAATATTGGGGAGTACACTTAAAAAAAAACTGAACATGAAACTCAAAAAAAACTAACAGTTGTGATCCCAGTCACCTTCTCCAGCTTTGGTGCAAATAACCAACAACATAGTAGTGCTTTCATCCTTCTAACTTTGTAACCCACTGTGACAAACCCAGACCTACTGGGATCTGCCACACGTTAACTAAGCTGCCACCAACCATTCCCTATAAGAAGTCACACAGACCAGGGATGGATTTTTAACAAATAAAAGAATAAGGTTTATTTAAATACAACACACAGGGAAAATAAAATTAAAACAAACAAACTGAACATGAAACTCAAAAAAACCTAACAGTTGTAATCCCAGTCACCTTCTCCAGCTTTGGTGCAAATAATCAACAACATGGTGCTGCTTTCATCCTTCTAACTTTGTAATCCACCACAGTATATTTTTCCCTCTCTTGCATTTAGAATTGGAATGGAAGATTTCTGAATCAGGAGCCATCAAGACAGACCTGGAGGAGAACCCCAGGAAGCAAATCCAGGATCATCTGATGACTTCAGTCCGCTGTTCTGTTCCGAGCAGGAGAGACGAAAGCGACTCAGAAGAGGACTGAGGACTCAGTTTCATGTCTGATTAAACTCAGAAGTTTACTTTTGAATCAGTGCAAGAGGACTCATTTTGACATAAGGGTGCTTGGGTTGCAGCCTAATAAATACCATTGTTGGTATGTTTTTTTCCTAAAATATTAAATTAGGGTTATATAATTTTGGACTTTATTTAGAATCTCTCCCTGATTGCCACTGGGGCCACTGTTTGTGGACCTTCCCTATTGAGGAATTAATGCTACCCGCAGTGTGACCCATGGTGCTAGCTGGTTCCCTTGGTGATAACACCCTTGCCTCTGCACCACAGTCCTTTTTACCCCTGTGGTGTTGTATCATTTTAAAGGATTGCTGCTGTCAGAAAATGGTCCTGATGCAAGGCTAAATTGTCAAGCAGGTACTGATTTTTCCAAAGATTAGTCTAAACCTGCTTAAATTCTTTATGGGCCAGATCCAGATGTGGTAGGTTCTATTTGCCACCAAGGATGCTGAATTCTGTTGAGATATTTGTACATACGTTTAGTAATCCTAAAAGCTCAAGGGATTATTGATTAACTGGAGGAAATGCAATGTTTTTTACTTTCATCTTGAAAGACCACCTGTGGGTATTTTTAAGCACTAATAACTCCCCCATCCCATGTTGAATCACACTTAATATGCTCCCCTCCACCCACCCCAAACAAAGCTGTATAACCAAGCTTTAAGAGGTCACTTTCACTGTGAAAGTTGGAGTAACAATATGCAATAAACTGAAACAGTTTCTCAACATTCTGGTTGCTTCCAGAGAAGCAGCGTGTTCAAGCATGTCAGGCAAAACTAAACAAAGAGATAAAAACATTGTGGCACTTAAAGACTGTATTTTAATATCAAGTTACTACTTTAGTACGTTGCTATTAGAGTAGGCCTTTGTGAATCAATGGAACCTATGGAGGAGCTGACTCCCAAGTCTCCACTGATTCAGTAGGCCTGTTTTACTACGACTTACTGCACGAAGCCACAGGATTTCAGCCACTGCTTCTTTGTGACATCTGTATCCCACCTTTCCTCTGAGGACCTCAAATTCAAAATTATCCTCGACTTTAGTATGTTGCTATTAGAGTAGGCCTTTGTGAATCAATGGAACCTATGGAGGAGCTGACTCCCAAGTCTCCACTGATTCAGTAGGCCTGTTTTACTACGACTTACTGCACGAAGCCACAGGATTTCAGCCACTGCTTCTTTGTGACATCTGTATCCCACCTTTCCTCTGAGGACCTCAAATTCAAAATTATCCTCTTCAACATCTATATAAAGTAGTTTAGAGTGGAAGACAGTGACTGGCCCAAGATCATCTAGTGGGGATATGGGTCTCTCAAATCCTAGTCCAAGACTCTTTAACACAGGAGTAAGGAATATGTGGACGTGGGACGTGGTGGCGCTGTGGGCTAAACCGCAGAAGCCTATGCTGCAGGGTCAGAAGACCAAGCAGTCATAAGATCGAATCCACGCGACGGAGTGAGCTCCCGTCGCTTTGTCCCAGCTCCCGCCAACCTAGCGGTTCGAAAGCGTGCAAATGCAATTAGATCAATAGGGACCACCTCAGTGGGAAGGTAACAGCGTTCCATGTCTAAGTCGCACTGGCCATGTGACCACGGAAGATTGTCTTTGGACAAACGCTGGCTCTATGGCTTGGAAACGGGGATGAGCACCACCCCCTAGAGTCGAACATGACTGGACAAAAATTGTCAAGGGGAACCTTTACCTTTACCTTTAGGGAATATGTGGGTATCCAGATGTTGGACTCCCATGATCTCATATGACTAGGACTCAAAAATTGCAGGAAAAAAACAACTGGAGGGCCACACCTTCACTCTCCTCTGTTCAAGCTGGTGTAACACAGTTCCCCCTGATATGTTAGGTTTCTATGTGCAGGAAGGTTAATTTTGTGGGTGGGAGATTCCTGAGGAAATAATTGAACGTGCAATCCACTGTTGATTTAATTTATGCCTAAGACAGATGATAGAAATTCATCATGAGTTGCAGTGATTTTTCAGGAATATTTTTTTTATCTCCTTCTCCCCCAGGATCCCGTGAGATCCCTTTTATTGTGGGGAAGCTGTTGTGGGTCATGGGGCAGGGGGAGACTCAGTTTCCAAAAATTGCTGCCAACTGAGTGATTGTACTAGCAGCCAAATCTGTTTTCCCCAATGGTTTCCCCATGTGATTCCTATGATGAAAGGGATCCCGTGGGAGCCTCTGGACCTTTTAGAGAGAATCAGAGATGTTTTATATGTGAGAAACTGCCCTATGTGTCATAAATTAAAGCAACAAAATTTCCATGTGAAACTGCCCAGACTTTTGAGCATGGATTTATGCTTGATGTTTTGAGGTTGCATATGAAAAATTCCCTATTTTAAATGCTGAAATACAGGTACATTGGCATGTTATCATATGAGGGCACAAACTGAAGCATCTGAATTCATCTACAGTGAATGCCATCACTTCTGTGCTTATTAAAACATAAGTTCAACAAATGTGTACTGTTCGTGGATTAGAGTCATACTTATGCAATTTAAACTGGCTGGATAGCTCAGTGGTTTAGGTATCTGGATGTGGAACCAGAGGTTGGGAGTTCAGTTCCCCTCTGTGCCTCCTGTGTGGCCTTGGACAAGCTCCACAGGCCCAGGGCACTTCCAAAAGAAAGGAATGGTAAACTACTACTGTGTATTCTATACCTGGAAAACCCTGAAGCAGTCACCATAAGTCAGAATCCGATTTGACAACACACTATTACAGTAGTGCCTCGCAAGACGATTGCGTCGCGGGGTGAAAAACCCACAAGACGATTGGTTTTCGTGATCCCTATGGTGCTTCACAAGACGATTTTTTCTATGACCATGCTTTGCAAGACTTTTTTTCTTCAAGACCGATTCTTCACAAGACAAATAAATTTCAAGACGATTTTTTCACAAGACGACGATTTTCGCAGAACAAATTAAAATCGTCTTGCGAGGCACCATTATTATTTTATGCCATTTGAACTTAGGCATCAGCATTGCTAAAGTATTGCTGGTGTTTGAAAACAAGAGCTTTGATTTTAAAGGCAAGCATGCATTTAAAACCCTACAGAATAAGGAGAAGATGCTCAAAAGAGTATTTGGAATGTGGAAGGGTTCAGATCCCACATCCTGTGTTCTCTATTTCTGATGGCCATTTTAGCAGAAAGCACTCTTCCTAAACAAAAGGTCTCCGGGGGTGGTGTAATGGACACGGACTTGTAGGGTTGAAGTCCTGGAACTTTATGAGAAAACAAGGTTTATGAGATTATCCATCACTCCTTCCCCCAGATTTCTCTGTTTCCTCTGAATTTCATTGCAGTCCTCATAACAGCTAGAAGACAAATGGCTTTTTCCAGGAATAGCATATTGTTGCAAGCTATCCATGTAATTGTGGATAGGTCAGTAGTTTTGGTATCTAGCTGCAGAACCAGAGGTTGGGAGATCAGTTCCCCACTGTGCCTCCTGAGAGAAGAGCAGCCTGTGTATTCATGGGCAAGCTGCACATTCCCAGAGCATCCCCAGAAGAATGGAATGGTAGACCACGTCTGTGTCTTCTCTACCTAGAAAATCTTGAAAAGTTCCACCATAATTCAGAATATCATCATCATCATCATCATCATCATCATCATCATCATCATCATCATCATCATCATCATCATTATAGCCCTGTAATGCAAAATATCAGGATGGTTTTGTTTCAATGGACAATTAAGAGCTATTAACTTTATAAAATACCTGCTCCTCATTTGTTGACGCAGGCTGGTCCATCTGTCTACAGTGGGGTCTCTACTTAAGAACTTAATCCGTATCGGAAGGTGGTTCTCAAGTTGAAAAGTTCTTATGTTGAATCTGCATTTCCCATAGGAATGCATTGAAAACCATTTAATCCGTATCTGCTCTTTTCCGTCCATAGAAACTACAGTGGAACCTCTACTTAAGAACTTAATCCATTTTGGAATGGTGTTCTTAAGTTGAAACGTTCTTAAGTTGAAGCAAGATTTCCCATAGGAATGGACTGAAAACCAATTAATCCGTTCTGGCTGTTTTTTTGTTATGTTCGTACATTGAAGCATTAATTCCCATAGGAACTAATGCAAAGCTGGTTAATACGTACTCTACCACTAGGGGGAGAATTTTTTTTTAACCTAAGATGACCTAAGGTTAAAAAAAGAACAGGAAAGCTTTTTTTTCCCTTGTTCTTATCTTGGATTTCTGTTCTCAAGTAGAAGCAAAATTTAGCCAATGGAGCTGTTCTTAAGTTGGATTGTTCTTAAGTAGAGACCCCACTGTATATTTTTGGACACTTCCTATGGGAGGGTTGCCTATGGAGATGATTGTAATGAGTGCCTGCATGCAAGAGAAGAATGGGGAACTTTTTCCACTACAGATGTGGGCTACTTCTTTTAATCATTGGCTATGCTCTCTACAGTTTCTCATAGTCAATCCCAAAACTGCTACGGGGGAGGGGGCAAAAGCGTTCCACATCTATGCCTAAAGGCTACTGTTCTATGCATTTGTGGAATGTGATGTTTGGTCTTAGTCCATAATAATTTGTGATGTAACTTGTTATTCTGCATAACTAGGAGAAATGTGTCCCTTAAAACCACAATCACAAATTATCATATGACTGTGATGAGACATTTGGTTGAAGAAGCTTGAATTGCGTTTAAAACAGGGCCAGGTGCAATCCAGAATTGTAACCTTCCCCATCTCTGGACTTTGGCAAGCCATTGAGGCTACACACAGACTGTTTCCCTTTGTTCTTCCTGCTTCTTAGATACTACTACTGGATGACAAGAGTTTTTTAAAAAAAATCTTCTAATCTACCCATCCTTCCAGGCCAGCCCTTTTCAACTCAGAGTTATTTAATGAAAATGTGATCTCTGCAGGACACAGATATTGACAACTATTTAACTGTGTGATATGTTGGAAGGTGTACAAGTGTGCAGCCAAGGAGCAAAACAGGTTATTGCATTTTCATTGCAGGTCAAAATCGTTTTCTTTAAAAGTCATTATCAGGAGAAGAAAATCCACTTCATTCAGAGATTGATTGATCAGTTCTATTTATATCCATGGTGTACATGGCTCTCCAGCTTTTTGATTTATCATCATAGTAACTCTATGAAGGGGGCTCAGCGTGAGAGACAGTGTAGCTGGCCTGAAGTCACCCAGTGCATTTTTAGGCAGTACACCTCTGAATATCAGATACTGGATGAAACCCTGTGGCACGAATCCATGCAGACAAAGAGGATGGTGTCATCAGCAGTGGCCAGTCATCTTTGATGAAGGCTTCCTTTGGGGATTTCTGGGTGTACCTGACTTCAGTGTATTGTGTACAGGATCATTTTTGATCGGTGGTGATTGGCCACTGAAAATGATATCCCCTCTGTTCCACATGCAGAGCTGCTCAGCAGTATTTTAGCCATGGTGGGGATGGGAGGGATGACATCAACTTCCTTCATGCCTTACTTCTATTCCTTGAGGACCTAACTAGACCCATCATGCTGAGTGGGAAGACCTGGACTCTGAAGGAAGATTGTTTGAGTTTGGATGGATGGGTTTAGAATGTCCAGGGTCAGGAGGCTGCCTTTATTGCAAGGTGGGATTATTTCCGTGTTGAGCTGAATGCACTCGGAAGACTTATGTTCCAGTCTTCCAGCTCAATGCAAACAGGGTGGAAGTGATATTTGGTGGTGTCTTTGATGACAAGGCTAGTACCTGGCATCCT